TACCTGAAAAGAAGAAGAGGAGAGTTCAAAAAAGAGCTTCACGAACCGCAGTGTCCCCTTGGCGTGCTCATCAGTAACAAAAGCAAAGATGATCTCATGTGTACCCAGAAGTGGGATCAGAGTCAGTGTAGATTTGGCCAATCTGGGAAGATCAGCCAAACAGGTTAACAAACAGAAGCAAAAGATTCATCTAAAAGAACAAAAAAATCACTGGAATAAAACAAGTCTAACCACTCTTTTTGAAAAGCTCTACCACAAAACAAATGGCTCTCTTGTCTCTAGGGCAGGGGTGTCAAACTGCTGGCCCGTGGGCCGGTTTCATCATACCAAAGCCGCCTCCACCCCATTGCTGGCAATGCAAAAAGAGTCGCGATACGTAACGACACGTTACATGACGTGGCGAATTTGACACCCATGCTCTAAGGCAGGGGTAGTCAACCTTGGCTCTTTTATGACTTGTGGACTTCAACTCCCAGAATTCCTGAGCCAGCTGTGCTGGCTCAGGAATTCTGGGAGTTGAAGTCCACAAGTCCTAAAAGAGCCAAGGTTGACTACCCCTGCTCTAGGGTCTCAACGTCTTCTGGGGAAATGAGTAGGTCTAGCTTCCAGGGCTTTAAAACTCAAAGGCAGCCTGTTGAATTAGCTCAAGAAACAATTTGGACACCAATAAAGCTGGCACAAAATTACTTATGGCTTCTGTATTCTTCTAAGCTCCAGAGGGGAGCCTTGTTGCATTATGCATCAAAATTTGCAGCAGGTATTCAGTGGTAGCTCCTAATGATTTGCATTACTGAAATATATATCTCCCTTTCCCACAAAAAGAGAAACCCCAATATGTACACAGGGAAAAAATATTTTTGACCTAGAGGACAGGATTGATTTTCCCATAAACTATTCCAGTTATAAAAATACACTTGACTGATAAAATATGAGTGGCTTTGTAAAATTGTACTTTAAAATATTATGTGTCTAGGTAGAGAATTAAAGGAATATTTGGTTAAACTTGTACTGGAAAAGGGTATTTGTGGATGTAGCATATTTGCTGAAATGGTACTTATTGCTGACATATATTTGGTATGCCAAGCAACATTAAATATCAATATCAAATATAAACATTGATACAAACTTATCAATACATTTCTACTCCAGACAATACCAAAACTAGTACTTTAAAATGCCTGATAAATCAGAACTTCCCCACAATAAATAACTTGAAACTGACATACAAAAAGAAACCCACAGCTTGAAATGGGGGTGACAGGTAAATCTTCAAAGTAAATGATTTATTGAGGAGCTTCTTTAACAAACTGCATATACAGCACTCCAAAACACTCCTAAAACAGATTTCAATATAAAACTATAAAAAGTTAAATTCCCTCCCCCTAAAAAAAAAAGGAATTTGACAGATGTACTATACTGTCTACCACAATTCAACATTCATCTGTACTTAAATTGTTACTGGTAAATGGCACCACAATTTTGTTTCCTCTTATTAGATGCAATCTGCACTTTTCTCAGTTGTCATAAGCATTTTTCCTTATGATCAATTATCACAAGCATTTTGCTTATGGGGGGAGGAACCCTGATAATATTTTTGCTGACAAATAAACTTACCTGCATTTTATGTCACTTTTGCGCAACAGATTTGCTTGCAGCTTAGAAATTATAATGCAAATAACCCTGATAAAGATCAGGAAGTTCACCTGAATAAAACAAAAAGGAATTACAAAGCAGATTGTAGAACTGAGCAGCATATCTCTGTTAATATAGCACTTAGCACTAAGATTTATATACCGCTTCACAGTGCTTTACAGCCTTCTCTAAGTGATTTTTACAGAGTCTGCATATTGCCCTCAACAATCTGGGTCCTCATTTTACTGACCTCGGGAGGATGGAAGGCTGAGTTGTTGAGCCGGTGAGACTCGAACTGCCAAACTGGTGGCAGCCAGGAGTCAGCAGAAGAAGCCTGCAGTACTGCATTCTAACCACTGCCCCACCAGGGCTCTAATAATATTCATTTTAAGATTATGTTGCCAGACAACTCACTCCAAAATTATGCTCATCATATGAAGTATCACGAAGGAATACATCATTATATATTCTAGTTAACATATTTCAAATGAAATTTTAAACACACATGCCAAGTATAAATTGATATTTTAACCAATGCCTTAATTATTATGATAGTTTCATTATTATGCATTTTATCTACAGTTTATTATTATTATAAAATTAACACAGGCCTATTAGGGATTCTTGCCAACAGCTTTTCTGTTTAGCACAGAATCCAGTATGCATACCAGGAAAAAGACTGCTTGTTAATAAAGAGGAGTTTAGCCACAACTAGATTAAGAATTTGATGGACATTCAATTACTTATTTATTGGAACACAGAAAAAAGCAATTCCCAAATTAATTTTTATAGATAGATTGGTTAAAAAACTGTCATGCATCATTTATGCATTGAATGTTAGCGGAAAGAAAACAATTAATGGAACTCCTATAAAATTATTGTACTAATGAAGGGACAGCTACACTGCCAGCATTTTTATCCCTTTACACTCGCTGCCCATAATCCATGTTACTATTGCAAGAATTTCCAATCACTTACCCCAATAGCAACCATAATAGGCAGCCTGATGATCAGCCAGTAGTTCATATTCAGATTCTTATTCCAACAGCTGGAATAATAAAAAATGGGACAAGGATCAGTGCATGGAGATAATAATGTAATTATGCCACATTTCTGTTCCACACATAGAAAAGCATAATAGTTGCTACTTAATGCAGATACATAGCACAGATGAATCTTAGAAACAATTTCAATTAATCTAGATCAGGCATGTCAAACTCACGACGTCATGTGACGTCGCACAACGTATCGGGCCAGTTTTGCCATTGCCGGCAATGGGGTGGGTGCGGCTTCCACGTGACACATCCAGCCCACGGGCCAGCAGTTTGACACCCCTGATCTAGATCATTGATGCAAAATGGGTGCTCTCAAGCTCTCTGTTAGATGTTAACAATTAACAGTAGTTAATAAAAGTGGTGGCGCAGTGGTGAGAATGCAGTACTGCAGGCTACTTCTGCTAACTGCCGGCTGCCAGCAGTTTGATTCTCACTGGCTCAGGTTAACTCATCCTTCCATCCTTCCAAGATTGGTAAAATGAGGATGTTGGGGACAATATGCTGATTCTGTAAACCACTTAGAGGGCTGCAAAGCACTGTGAAGCAATATATAAGTCTATGTGCTATTGCTATTTCATTAGAAATTAGAAAACAGGTTATAACAGGGGTCCCAACCTATGGGCCGCAGCCCCGGACCGGGCTGAAGGCTTTTGGCCAGCGGGTTGCAGAAATGGTTGGCTGGTGCACACACACATGGGTGCACATTTCCCCCCCACACACACTCATGCTAGCGCCTGTGGTCCCATTTGTGCATGCGTGTGGGTGCGAACAGGGACACTAGTGTGGGGCGGGTGTCTGTGGCCTGTTTGTGCATATGGGAATAGGGCCGCTAGCTGCCACAGGGGCTGTGCAGCCATTCACGCATGCGCATGCATCAGCGCATGCATAACCAGGGCCGCTAGTGCTGCACCAGTGTGTGTGCGTGCACCAATTTTGAAGCTGCTCTCCTTCCCTCCAATCTGCGAGCTTGGAAAGATTGGAGATCTCTGGGTTATAAGGCAGAGTAGATAGTCACATTTCCATCCTCAAAATAAAAGATCACAGATTGATTGCCAACAAATCCAGATATACCAAATCTTTAGGGTTTTGATTGATAATGAAAAAAAGTGTTTTAGTTTGCAGAAAATTTTGTTCTTGCAGCTGACAGGACAACTGTCTGGTTTGTTCAGACTTTCAGTGTAACCCTGTTCAAACCAATTTGAGTGTGCGCACACGTACATTCTTGCAAAGTTATATTTTCATTATATCCTTCTTTGGACATTTTTCCTCCTTCAACAATTCCTTCCAGTCTATCTATCAAATCACTTCAAAGAAATGGCATTAAGAAAAGCGTTTATAATTGATTGTATTATCATGAAGAGATTGAACATTATTCAAAGACAAACAATATATAGAATTACAATGTATAGTATAGAGGTATAACATTTGCTATTTTGTGATTGAGGGTTAAATTGCGTCCTATAAAAGTGGGTGAGTTTTTCATTCTTACTTCAACTATATCCCTAATTATCTTGTCCTTTATAAAACCCAGTAATGAACATAAGTCAATCTTGAGATTCTTAATATACATGGCAAATGCTTGTTTATACAACATTTTGATCATGTGTCATTTACACATCATTGGAGATGATAGGTATAGAAAAGGTAGGAATGGCTGCTGCTATCTCACTGTGCATTTATACATCGTTCACAAGGTGCTACTTGTTTAATTCTACAGACATGCATCTGAAGTTAAAAAAAATATCTTGAAAGCAAGATGGAGAAAAATAGAGGCATACTTTTATTTCAGAAATCTGTCTAATGGACCCCCTATTACAGGTGCTTTAGTATCACACATACTGAATATTTATTTAAGCTAGTTGATTTCCAGTGATATTTTGGGCAATAAAGTACAGGAACAATGTAATTAATAAATAATATTTCTTTGAGGTGTGATTTTTTTTAGCAGAATTTCACTTTAGAAATATATGTTAACTAAAAAAAATAGTAGGTAATAACACTGGGTGTTGGATAAATAAGCATGCTGACAAAAAGGTTTGTATTTTCTTAAATGTTTGTGGTTTCAGAATACTAGAACAATCTTAAAGAGTTTCTAGCATAATGGAAGAAATTAAGTAGTGGAACCCTCCAGTGCGTTAACTGGTTTCTTAGGGCCTGCTAAAACTTTAGCTGCTTTTAAATGTTATACAAATGTGCAATCCAAACATCTACAGGTAGTTTTCAACTTACAGCCATTGATTTAGTGACCATTCAAAGTTACAACGGCACTAAACAAGTGACTTACAGTATGACTGTTTTTCATACTTATGCCCGTTGCAGCATTCGGACACTTTGCAATTGGCATATATTTTTGATGGTTGCAGTATCCTGGGGTCATGTGATTACCTTTTGAGACCTTCTGACAAGCAAAGTCAATAGGGAAACCAGATTCACTTAACTGTGTTACTAACTAAACAACTGCATTCATTCACATAACAACAATGGCAATAAAGGCATTTTTTTTAGCAATGGAAATTTTGGTCTCAATTGTGGCCGTAAGTCAAGGACTTACAGTAAAATTAAAATGCCAGAAAAATAAAAGTGTTTGAAAAGGGCAAATAACTAAACTCAAAGTCTTTGATTCTTTTTAAAGCTTATTTCCAAGTTTAACATATACCAGCCAACAGGTAGCAATCAAAAGTGTGGACTTACTTTATTCATAGTGCAATGCAGTCTTTTATTTAATTTCTTCTACCCCCACCCCCACCCCTCACCCTCAAAACAGACACATACAATAGCAAAACACTATTGTAACTGGATCTGAAGTGATATTTGGCACTTTGAAGCAATTTTTTCACCAAGACAAACCAAACAAAAAAGTCCATTAGTGAGTGACATCTAACTGCCTACCAATTTACTCAAACTGTCATTCGCCACAAACAGCAAATTATACCACAATACAAAGCTGTACTTCTGCATTCAGTACTCGCTCTATCACTGGGTTGTTGACTGAAAGCTTATTAGCACTCAGAATGATTTAAACTCTTTTGACTTGTGCTTGTTTCATGCTTGATATACTTCTTTACATCACCAGTCCCACTAAGGGATATTGAGAAATTGCAGGCACAATTCATATATATTTCCCTCACCTTTTTGGGGGGGAGGGGAGAAATAATCTGATCTTTTGTAATCTTTCTGGAATATGAGGAACTCAATGTAATTAGTTGTACAATGTTTGTGTTCACATTTCTGTATGGATTTGGCATAATGTAACAAAAAAGGTCTTAAGCAATATTTGTAAATAAGACTCAGGAAAACACTAGATTCCCTTCCTTTCTTCCTTAAATCTACCCACAGCCACCAATTCTGCCCACCGCCTGGAGTTCGATCCTGAGAGGGCTCCAGGTTGACTCAGCCTTCCATCTTTCCAAGGTTGGTAAAATGAAGACCCAGATTGTTGGGGGTAACATGCAAATAATGTTTATATTGTAAATCACACAGAGAGTGCTATAAAATGCTGTGGGGCAATATGAAGGTCTAAATGCTATTGCTATTACTATCATTCTCATCTGAAAATTTGTAAATTTTCCAGAATAGATTTTTTACACAGGATTCAAAATTCCCTACAACAAAACATTTCTACAGGATGTCCCAAAGGTGCTTTTTCAAAAGGCAACTGGTCTTTGTTTTTCCTTGAAGACGTTTCACCCTCGTCAGAATAGAGCTGGAAGGGACCTTGAAGGCCTTCTAGTCCAATCCCCTGCTCAAGCAGGAGACTCTATACCATCTCAGACTAGTGGTTGTCCAGTCTCTTTTTAAAGACCTCCAGTGATGAAGCACCCATAACTTCTGAAGGCAAGCTGTTCCACTGGTTAATTTTCCTCACTGTTAGGAAATTTATCCTTAATTCCAGATTGCTTCTTCCCTTGATTACTTTCCATTCATGTTTCTTGTGATTTGGAAAATAAGTTGATCCTCTCTTCTTTGTGGCAACCCCTCAAATACTGGACTATTGATATCATGTCACCCCTCGTTCTTTTCTCTAGGCTAGCCACACTCAAATCCGTTCTTCATCACAAAGACATTTCTACAGGATCCAAATCAATATACAGAATATACAGCCTAGAATCCTGATAACTTCTCAAATAAGAATATTTCCCATGTCACTAAATGCCAAGTAGAAAAGATGTGGTCTACATGTGAAGGTCCAATTAAACCGATTTATTGCTACTCATGCCTATGCACAGGACTATTCTCAATTAATGGTTAGCACCTGCTTTGAGTTAAATAAGGGTCAACAGAATTCAAGGGAGGTTGCACTTAGTTTGCTTGTGGCTACATAGGGATTCTAGGCTGATTCCCCTTTTAACTCTGCCCCCCGGCTCTGCCACTCCTTCTCCTACATTAAATTAATCCCATCATGCTGGAATTAATTTTTGAAATAGGGAAGGTTGGATACTGGTTCGTAATTGTCAAACACCTCTGGATAGACGGAAAGGCTCTTAAGGAAAGGAAATACTCCTGCTTCCTTTAAGGTTGTTAGCCACTCTCTTTCGTGAGTATTTGGAGAGCACTTTAAGGAACAAATGCACTTCTTGAAACTTTCTATTCCTCTGCTGAAAATATCATGCCAAATGAGGTTACCTTTTTGCAATATGGCTGCTGACATATGATACATAGCTCAAAGTCTGATCTTTGTTTAAAACTATTGATTTTCACTTCCACGCACAAAGAGAATTATCAGTTGCTGGGATCATTGCAGACTGAACATTATTTATTTTTCATTATCCTTCAAAGGCAAATGACAAGCTCATTTTATAACTTGGAATAATTTATTATACTTATGAGGACTATTAGGACTTTTAGTAGCCATTTCCCCTTTAGAGTAAGGGACAAAATGTTGCCCTTTATAGAAAGGAAAGTCCCAAGTATATTTTGCAATTTTACAAATAAAGTATCTTTGTAAGATTTAGGTAAATGGCCATACTCCTTGAGTTTCACTGATCTGATAATG